GGCTGAATGCAGTTTAAATTTTGGATTATTGATTGCCTGTATGCGTTCGCCTTGTGTAGGCCGATGGATAGCCTGCTGTGAGTGCGGCCGCTTGCTGCATGCACCCAACACTGACAGAGCTCAATAGCCAACAGACAGCCAGTTTTACGCGGTTATCCCGCCGAAGCTGGTAGCTTTCGCCCCAAACACGCCTGTCAGCTGATCCTATAAAGCTTCATTTCAAAGGAGTGCTAATCCAAGTTAGTGCGCTGATTTCTGAGCTTAAAAAAGCTGACGTTTCACTCACCCCATTCAGCCGCCCGATAAGCATATTCATTCATGCGCTTGCATCTACGCGGCAACGATAGCTTTATTAGTATTATTGCTGCCTGCTGTTCATGCCCACACCGTCCCTGTAAATCCCGTCCCCAGCCAAAACTACGCGGTCATTTGCGCACGCATAATTCCGCCCATTGCCCCCTGGCCGCTGCTCTATTCCGAAGTTCAAAAACGTCCGTAGTGATTGGCGAATTAGCATATGTACGTGGGCGGCGTGTGCTATATGACAGGCACGTAACCTTTGCAACACGCTAGTCAGTATGTCCATTACCAATCGGCTGACAGCGCGTCCCCGCCCATAATGAATGTGACTCGCCACGAGGCGACAGAATTTGTGACTTTAAAAGTTGCCAGCTCCTGGAATCATTCTGCCCCCTAATTGGAATGAAGGCCAGGTGACGATGTACTGTAATCCTTACGGCATCCCTCGCATGGATGAGGTGCGAGGCCTGCCTACTAATCCTGGCCTGTGTGGATTTGGGGACCTAGTCATTCGTAACACGTGTGGACAGACCGTTTGCCTATCTGCATCCATGCCTATTTCTGCTTAAGCAGATTTTATTTTCCCCTTGGAACGTTGTGCGCTTGCAAATAATATGTAGGCTGAACGTGGACAAGCCTAATTTGCCGTGAATAAATTCACTTTTAAGAGACTACTGTGCAGTTGGCAGGCCAATGGTATTCCCTATCCTTCGCGTCGGAAATTATCGATTTCCCAAAGCCAGCCAAAAGTGCTACAAAACATGTTCATCTTGCATTCCTTGTGTGTACTCGTACTTGCTTTGCCTAATGGGATAGTTGAAATTCAGTTGACCCAGTTGTAAAATATTCGCGGCCTCGGTGGGAAGTCAAACCCACACAACAGGGGAGGTTTTTGCGCAGCCAGCGCTCTACCATTGAGCTGCGAGGCTCACCGCGCGCCGTGTATTTAATCACAATTGGGTCAACTGAATTAAGCAAACCTGCCAACCCCCCCTAATAGTTGGAATTCTCATGTCTTTTTTGTGGGCACCAATAGCGCCGACTGACCGAGGCACCACTGTTTGTGCCAAGTTGCCTCTGCAGTTTTGTACTTAATCATGCGCACCTCACTGCATCCCTCTAACATTTCGTCCCTCCCTCCTCAGTTTTCTCAGATGGCCTGCGTCTCCTGCAGACGTAACATGTCCTCACAGAGAGACGTCATTTGCCTGGCCCAGGAGGGCAGTTTGCAAACCTACGTCAACCCGCATGGCATTGTCTTTGATATGCTAACCCTCAGCAGGGTCATTCCGGGCTCCATTGAACTCGTGGGTACATCCTCCACTGAGTACTCCTGGTTCCCTGGGTAGGTTTATTTTGCCTGTCGCATGCATTTTTTGCTTATGTCTCCTACCTTGACTAGGCATTCCTCTGTGGCCTTTGGCGACTACACTAACGATAGTGCCCTGTTCGCGCAAAGTTTTGCTGACCTGGAGCATGTGTTGTCGCGGTCGAATGAGATCGTTAAGTCAGTCGGTTGGCCTATAAATGCCCCGGCAGGTTATAAGGTATCCGCGTTGCGTTTCTAATCAGGAAAATACACCCCTGGATGTTAATTGTTGTCACCTTGAACATGTGGACCATTTCTAAGACATCGGAATGGAGTTTTCGCCTCATGAACGGGTTAGGATCAACATAGTCGCTCGAGCCCTTGTCGTTCGCAGGATTAAAACAAACCTTCGATGTATTCATATCCGTCGGCATGTCTTCGTTGTTATAGAAACTCGGCATCCGTTCGGTTTTAGAGCTGTGAATGCTGGGTTATGTGCATGGTGGATAAACTTCAACTAAAGTTGTTTGACCAAAGTTACCTAAGGACCATTCTTCGTCCTGAATGAATCAGTCCGCATTTTCTGTGCCCATATCACGATGATATCTCAGACCCTTACAAAAAGACATCTGAGTTGGCTTGGGCACGTTTTTTTTGTCGTCCGCTCCACGATTTCAATGTAATCATCCTTTATTCGGCGTCATTATCCCCCTGGGGGTGTCCGTAGGGCAACTCAAAACCCGTACTCAACAAAAAATTGTTTTGGTGGATTTTTTGTATTCGGTGTCTCTCGTTGAAGAAATGAACTGGTTGAGCTCACCAGAACCGATGTCACAGATCGCCAAGCAATGAGAGCTAAATTCCCCCACCTCATCGAGGACGTTCAGATCCAGTGACTTGTACGTGAGTTAGTTTATAGTGATGGTACATGTTGTAACGGTGACAGAGTCGGGAATGTCACCTGCCTCGTCAATATGGTAACGCTAACGAGCTGAGATGTCACCGTCTGATTACGCCCTGTTTGAATCTCCAAGGGAGAACACAACATAAAGGGCGTAAAAGTTAAAAGCCACGCCCGAATGAGGGTTTTATTGTATACAGAACCCGGAGTTGCTATCTCGGGTGGCAGTGGTCGCAGGCGAACCCGGGCTGGTGTGGACTGCGTCCAATCACGCCTGAGGGTGTCTGCAAGTCTCAGCAAGTCCGATGCATTGAGTTCAAGTGGTGCATGATTGATGCTTTGGATTTGCCCGAGGGGTGTCGAGTATTGAGGTCACCTGCTGGGTGGTCGCAGGGTGGCGTGTTCACATGCGAGTGAATATCCGTCCAGCGGTTTAAGGTCATCGAGTGGGAACAGTTGCCAGCGCAGACACATGACCTTGAGGCCGCTCACATTGAACAGTGAACCATTGTTGGCCTCCGGCCACAGGACCAGTTCAGCAGGAAAGCCTGCAAGGTTATGCTGTCAGTCGGCTAGGCTAACTCCTAACAGGAGACTTGTACTGCACCTACCGCACTGCCTCTTTCCGCACCCACCTGC